CCAGTTAAAAATTTTTTAATGTAATTTATATTTAATATATAATGTTTTTCACATACTGTATATTTTGTATACTATATATATTTTAAAGTTATTAGTGACTCAAATCTCTTGATCTTTTAATTATTTCTTTCATTGCTTTATTAAGCTTAGAAATTACTCCTAATACTCAGGTATTAGTATATTTTTTATTGTAAAATAGTTTATTGTATTTAACTTTTATTGATTTGTAATTTATAGTACCATAACTTTTAATTTTTAGGATGGAAATGGAGTTGTACGTGGCTATTACCTTTCTGTGTTTCTGGAACTCTCAGCTGGCTTGCCTGAAACTTCCAAGTAAGATAAGCAATTAAATTACAGGCTTTCCTGTATGTTTGCATACACTCTTACCTTAACAATTTTTTTTATCATTAAATTTTATTAGTTTTAATGAACATTTACAGGGATTTTGGGTTTTCATTCCTTCATTGCTGCACCATTCTTTCTACCCTCCTCCCCAGTTTGTTCTTCTTCCCCGCCATCCGAATGTCTGTTTTAATTGTCCAATAACAATTTTTATTAATTGTTTTTTTATACTTATTATATTGCTCCATTTTGATATACGTGTCTGTTGAATTCTTGGATTATTTTGATGGCTTAGAATAGTAATTACCACAACTTTTTGTTCAGAACCCCAAAGTTGTTTTCTTTATGCTGTGATGTATTGATGTTTTCTGATTTACAAATTATAATTTAAATAATTTTGAACAGTTCTGTTCATTTAAAGTAGCAATAAGTATATTGAAAATGAAGATTAACATATTTTTAATGAAAATATTTTAGAGAAGGGATTATTTTTTTCAGATAGTTAAGGTGATTTTTCCTATGGAGGTGATGCAAAAATGGGTTAGCATTGGGCTGTTAACTGAAACTTGGTGCTTTGAACTTACACAAAGGTACCTTAGAAGAAAAGCCTGGCTGGCAGACTGCTTCTGAACTATGCTATTCCGCCAGCAAACACATGGGTTTGCCACGAGTTGGAATCAACTTAATGATGACACATAAATTTTAAATTGATAATTGAGTTAGGTTTGTTCAAGCTTTTTCTATGAAAGGAAAAAAAATGTCAGTTGAAATTTTTAAGGCTTTCGTTTTCTAAGATTCGAGTTGAAGTGCTATGTAAATAGGTTAATATGGATTGTTACATTTATTAGAAACAGGTCTTTTTAAATTTTTGTCAAGATTTAAAGTGCTAAGGAAGATAAATTTTTTTCTTAAATATTTAGTACTGTTTCATCACAAACAACTGATTTTTAGAAATTCTTATATTCATATTAAGACTTTACCTGTACTTAATCCTTACTGCTAATAGAACAAACATTTATGTCTTGGGGAAGGTACAACCAGAGTGATCTTTGGAGGCAAGATGATAAAGCTTCATTTCACATACTTTGTACATAAGGCCAGGAGAAGCTTTTCTTTAGAGAGGGACATCATGATTGGAAAGGTGGAGGGTCAGTGAAAGAGGAAGACCCTCAACAAGATGGACTGACTTAGGACCTGGCAGCACCTAACAACAACAGTCCTTACTGTATTTGGCCATCAACAATTAGGTTGGGTTCTTTTACTCACATTTTTAAAGTACATGACTTTTTCTATGACTTTAAAGGTTTTTTGTCATTTTATCTTAAAATAGTATTGTCACTTTGAGCATAAGTAATTTTGTCACAATTAAATATTTGTGGGAGAAAAGTGAAATATCTTTTTGGAAAATGTATCCAAGTTTGAACTTTTGCGTGTGCAGGTCATTATACTCATTTTTTAACTTAGAAATAGTAATAGGTAATATTTCTAATAATAGTTCAGAAATATATCAGTCTGAAAAAATAAGTGTCCCTTTCAGGTCTTGAATTCATCACACTCCAGTAGAAACAGGAACTGTAATGCTTCTAAGCAACATTCTCCAATATATAGAGCCAGAACTTTAGGAGATGGTACTGATGTTAGGGCCAGTGCTGGAAAATTAGAGATGAAACAGGGCCGTTTAAGGGTATCAGAAAGTAAAGATGCTCTAAATATAAAGAATTAAAATGGTAGGATAACAATGATAAATATAAATTTTAAAAAAAAGAAAACTTTCAATCTCTTGGCCTTATTTTTTGCCAGTGTCTTCAGTGTAACTTAGCTTTTTTCCTTCAGTACTATTAACTGTAGGGTTTGGTTTTATTTTGTTTTTTGTGTGTTTTTTTTTTTTAAATGGACACAAAGAAAGGAAAAGTTATTAGGAAAAGTGCTTTGCAAGGGGTGATATAGAGAGAAGGGGTACCACTAGTCGATGATGCCAGTACTATGGTTATTGATCCTACGCTACTTCCTAAAATGACTCTGTTTTAGCCAATTCTTTTTTGGCACAGCTCCATCTTTTGGGGCTTCTTACATTGTTGTTGTTGTTGTTATGTGCCGTCGAGTCGCCTGCGACTCATAGCGACCCTATGTACAACAGCCCTAAATTCCGCTTT